ACCTCAACCTCCTAAAATGCTGGGATTACAGGTTGAGCAACCGAGCCTGGCCTGTGAGCTACTTTTCATCGCGCTGACCCTTGTCAGAGATTCATCTATTCTAACATAGCAAAACCTAGACGAAAATGAAATTTCTACCACTATTCTCCACAGAACTGAAACATTCTTTCTATACACATTAACGAGATCCAGCAGTAATCCTGCAAATTCTGTATCATCCTTTTGGGCAGACAGGATTCTGCCGCTGTATCAAACAGCCCACTCTGGATTACATTGATGGTTAAGAATGGCAATTAAGCAAGGCATTACTTCCAGCCATGAGAAATCAGAGCCAGGAATGAAATTTTAAAAGCAGCTTGTTTTCAATGCCATCGACTATCCAACAATTTTAGAAAGGTCATTTAAAACTCACCAGACAACTAATGTCAGGACATGTGGTCACACAAAGCCTGACTATGCTACTGTTTTTTGTAATGAATGTTGATCAGAAGCTCTGGGGTGAAAATGAGACTCTATTCCTTTTCTTTCCTTTTTTTCAGCAGGAGTCTCACTATCGCACAGGCTGAAGTGCAGTGACATGATCACGGCTCACCACAACCTCAGCCTCGTGGGTTCAGGGATCCTCTTGCCCCAGTCTCCGAGCAGCTGGGACTATAGACACCTGCTACCATGCCCGGTTATTATTTTGATTTGTTGTCAAGATGAGGTCTTGCTATGTTGCCCGGGTTGGTCTTGAATTCCCAGGCTCAAACAATCCTCCCATCTCAGCCTCCCAAAGTGCTGGGATTCCAGGTGTAAGCCACTGTTGCCCAGCTCTGAGAAACAGAATGACATAATAAGAGAAACCACATATACAATGTCTGTCTATCAGCACACCTGCCTGCTGGCCAGGTGGTTTGCACTGGCCTCTTTGCAATCCCCCCTCCAACTATCTAAGCTGGTTATGATTGGCCTCAGTTTGCAGATTCCAAAGTAGGTACTCAAAAGTGTTTTCATAACCTGCCTAGGGTTTCATAGCTGGTGGAGCTGCCAGGGGTCCTGAGTGGTGGAGCTGCCAGGAATCCTGAGTGGAGCAGGGAGCTCCAGCCCTGTGGACACAGTACTGACACTGATGCTCTCCCCCTTCTAAAAAGACCTGAATATGTCGTCAGCCCCTCCTCACAGCACAGTGGAAAGGTGACTTCGCGTGGCATCACAAGACCTGGATTTGAGTTCGAGTTTTGCTATGTCAAGTCCACCAATAATTAACCTCACCAGAAAACGGAAATAATAGCATTTCACTGTTTGGTCGTTTTGTTTTTGAGTCAGTGTCTCATTCTGTTGCCCAGGCTGGAGTGCAGTGGCACAATTACAGACCACCGCAGCCTTGACCTCCTGGGCTCAGGCAATCCTTATGCCTCAGCCTTCCTGGGACTACAGGTATGTGTCACCATGCCTGGCTAATTTTTTTCACTTTTTGTAGAGATGAGGTCTTACTATGTGGCCCAGGCTGGTCTCAAGCAATCCTCCTGCCTTGGCCTTCCAGAGTGCTTGAATTATAGGTGTGAACCACGATGTCCAGTTAAAGTAAGCTACAATCTATAAAAATGAATACTTGAGGCTACACAGTTAAATATCCAATACAGTCAGAATAACTTTTAAAGATTGCAATGTGTTAACACACAACATAATGCCATGCAATGCAGTCATTCAAAGTAATAATAACTACTATGCAGACAAAAAAAATATTCACAAGGCATTAGATGAAAATACCACAAGTATACATTTGTTGACTGATATCTCTAGCATTTCAAAAGGTCTCACAATTTTCTAAAATGTCCTTTAGATTTAATTACAGAATGCTTCCAGAGAACAGAGTTGACCGGGTGTAGTGGCTCAAGCTTGTAGTCCTTGCACTTTGAGAGGTTGAGGAGGGAGGACTGCTTGAGCCCAGGAGTTTGAGATCAGCCTGGGCAGCATAGTGAGACTTTATCTCTAACCAAAAAAAAGACCCCAAAGATTAGCCTGGCATGTTGGCACATGCCTGTATTCCCAGATACTCAGGAAGCTGAGGTAAAAGGATCGCCTGAGCCTAGAAGGTGGAGGCTGTGATGAGCTGTGATTGTACCTCTGCACTCCAGACTGAGTGACAGAGACCCCAATTCAGAGAGAGAGAGAGAGAGAAGCGGGGAGAGAGAGGGAGAGAGAGGGAGACAGGGAGAGAGAGGGAGAGAGGGAGAGAGAGAGAGAGAGAGAGAGGTGTTTACAGCTTCTCCCAACAGGACATCTGACTCAGAGACCTGTACTTGTAAGTCTCCTTTAAAATAAAAGGAACACTATATATGGCAGGATATTATTTAATGTGTATCTGCACCACCTATAATTTGCTCCATGAATTACTATAATTTCTGATTTTAAAAAAGGGAACAGAATTCAAAATACAGATACGATGGACTATAAAAAAAAAGGCATGATTAACAGTGAGTAAATAAGATAGAACAACTCAGTCAGAACACAGGAAAGAGAATCCCCAACTGCTAAACAAAGTCTAGCTGGAGATCTTCTCCTCCACCCTCCTTCCACCCCACCAGGATTTACTGAGAGCCTGCTTTATGCCACCCCCGGGCACATTCTAGGCACTTGGGATACAATGGTAGACAAGAAAATCCTTCCTCTTGTGGAGCTTATGTTCTAGTATGGGGGGAAAGAAAAACAGATAAGCAACTAAATACATAAAATCCTAGATGGGCCTGGTGTGGTGGCTCATACCTATAATCCTAGCACTTGGGGAGGCCAAGACAGGAAGATCGCTTGAGACCAGGAGTTCAAGAACAGCTTGGGCAACATAGCAAGATCCTGACTACAAAAAAATAAACAAAAATGATGCTGATAAGTACTATAGAAAAATAAAGCAGAGGGAGGTGGTAAGAATGGGGCAGAGAAAGAGGAGAGGCGGGACTCTCATTATCATTATTATTTTTGAGTTGGAGTCTCACTCTTGTTGCAGTGGCATGCTCACGGCCACCGCAGCCTCAACCCACTGGGCTCAGGCATTCCTTCCTCCTCAGCCTTCCAAGTGGCTGGAACTACAGACACATGCTAACACACGCGAGTAGTTTTTATGATTTATGGTAGAGACGAGGTCTCACCAAGTTGGCCAGACTGGTCTTGAACCTCTGGGCTCAAGCAATCCTCTTGCCTCAGACTCCAGAAGTGCTGGGATTACAGGCTGAGCCACCGCGCCTGGTCAAGGGACTCTAATTTTAAATAAGGTGGGCAAGAAAGACCTCAACGGAAGGTGACATTCTTGAGAAAGAAGCCTGGGAGCAAACTCTGCAGAAATCTGGGGGGACATTCTTTCTAAGGAGGGAAAAGCCAGTGCAAAGGCCCCAAGGCAGGAGCAGCCGGGCATGGGTGAGGTGCAACACAGAGGCCATTTGGTTGGAGGAGAAGAATCCAGAGAGACAGTGGGAGGCCAGGTTATGTGGACTTCCCATCTCATGATTCACTCCAGAAACAGAATTTATATTCCTATGAAGGTCAAGACATGGATTTCTTGTTTAGGGAGTTGGCTAAAACACCAAACTACATGGGTGGAGGAAGGTGAGTCAGGAGACACGGCACTGACCAAAGTAGCCAACAGGAAGAAGAAATAAACCTCTGCTAGGTCAAGGGAAGTTCAGGAACCGGGAAGCAGTCTGACACTGTGTGCAGATTTATTGTATTTATTTTATCATTACATTAGATACTTGGACTTTATTTGGAAACTTGGTATTGTTTTACTGCATCCTTTCTGCTGCTTAAAAAAAAAAAAGTCGCCGGGCTCGGTAGCTCAGCCTGTAATCCCACGCCTTGGGAGGTTGAGGTGAGCGAATTGCCTGAGCCCGCGGGTTCGAGACCCACCTGGGCAACTTGGTGTGACCTCATCTCTGCAATAAATAAAAAATTAGCCGGGCGTGGTAGCACGCGCCTGTAGTTCCAGCTACTTGGAAGGCTAAAGCAGAAGGATCGCTGGAGCCTAGCAGGTTGAGGCTGCGGTGGCTGGGAGCGTGCCACTGCACTCCAGTCTGGGCAACAGAGTGAGACTCCAACTCAAAAAAAAAAGTCTTTGGGCAGACATGGTGGCTCATGCCTGTAATCCCAACACTGAAAGATCAAGGTGGGAGGATCACTTGAGCCCAGGACCAGCCTGGGCAATGTGGCGAGACATCATCTCTATTAAAAAAAAAAAAAAAAAAAGATCACTTAAGCCAGAAGGAAAGGTTGCAGTAAGCCGTGACTGTGCCACTGCATTCTAGCCAGGGTGACAGAGTGAGACTCTGGCTAAAGAAAAAAGAAAACATCATGGATGTAAATTTATTTTAAAAAGTATAACACGGCCGGGCATGGTGGCTGACACTTTTAATCCCAGCACTTTGGGAGGCCGAGGCGAGAAGACTGCCTGAGTCCAGGGGTTTGAGACCAGCCTAGGCAACTTGGCGTCGAGACCTCTTCTCTATGACAAATCAAAAAATTAACCAAGGGTGCACCTGTGGTTCCATTTACTTGGAAGGCTGAGGCAGAAGGATGGCCTGAGTCCAGCAGGTTGAAGCTGTGGTGGCCATGACTGTGCCATTGCACTCCAGCTTGGGTGACAGAGTAAGACTGACAAAGAAAGGAAGGAAGAAAGAAAAGGAAGGAAGGAAAGAAGGAAGGAAGGAAGGAAGGAAGGAAGGAAGGAAGGAAGGAAGGAAGGAAGGAAAGAAGGAAGGAAGGGACTGGCAATAGTGGGAAATTACCAGGGGAGTACAGGTCGGGATTGGTACTACTGGGAAACTGTGGGGGAGGGGTACCTGCATAATGAACATTTGTATACCTAACCCTGAATTGTACCCCACATCTTTAAAATAAAATTTTTTTTAAAAAGGTGTAAGATTTAGACTCGCCATCTTATATGTGTCTACCTCACCTTAAGTCTTCCAGCGATATTCCCAGTGTCTTTGGTTCACCTTTCAGGGGGAACAACAGAGCATGTGTCTTACCGCCTTCCTCTCCTGCTTCAGCTCCTGGACATAGCGCGCCAAGTCCCCAATGATCTGGGCTGCCATGTTCTCAGAGATCACCTCATGCTGCCCTGCATAATCGTTCATTTCATTCAGGGTGGAAATGAAGGCTTTACACGACGTGTACCTGCAGGGCACAACACACACACTTCACACAGGGCCAGGCTGTTGTGACACTGCTTTACACCTAGGAAATAGTAATTAAAATCAGGCTAATTTGCCTCAACCTCCCATAGGACCAGAGGATTCATTACACATAGAGTGTTCTCGTCAAAATGGCTCAGAATTGAATACAACAGAAACTCTTCTCTTTTTGCAAAACTGAACTGCTCTGTGTAATGTGATATCTGGCTCTGTTAATACTGAGTACAGATACAAACAAAAATTCATAAACATGCCATATGCACTCATGTAAAGGCCTTTTAGGTCTAAGTTAGAGACACAGTATATTGGGCTTGGGCCAGGCATGGTGGCTTACACCTGTAATCCCAGCACTTTGGGAGGCCAAGGTAGGAGAAGGGTTAAGCCCAGGAGTTCAAGACCAGACTAGCCTAGGCAACATAGCGAAACCTTGTCTCTACAAAAAAAAAAAATCTATTTATATCTATAGAGACGTTCATGTTACAAAACTATAATTGCTGATGAAATGGGCTTTTTTTTTTTTTCAGAGTCCACATTGGCATGGATCTTTTATTTATTTATTTTTATTTTTTTGAGTTGGAGTCTCACTCAGTCACTCAGACTGGAGTGCAGTGGCCACTCCCGGCCCCCACAGCCTAAACCCGCTGGGCTCCGGCGATCCTTCCGCTCAGCCTTCCAAGTAGCTGGAACTACAGGCATGCACTACCACGCCCGGCTAATTTTCGATTTATTGTAGAGATGAGAGGTCTCACCAAGTTGCCCAGGCTGGTCTCGAACCCGCGGGCTCAGGCAATCCACTCACCTCAGCCTCCCAAGGCATGGGATTACAGGCTGAGCCACCGAGCCCGGCTTTATTTATTTTTTGAGTCCTGGTCTTACTCTGTCACCCAGACTGAAGTCCATGGCATGATCATGGCTCATGGCAACCTCAACCTTCTCCCGAGTAGCTGGGACTACAGGTGCACACCACCATGCCCTGATAATTTTTTAGTTTTCTGTACAGATGAGGTCTTGCTATGTTGCCCAGGCTGGTCTCGAACTCCTGGGCTCAAGTGATCCTCCGACCTTAACCTCCCAGAGTGCTGGGATTATAGGTGTGAGCCAACATACCCAGCATGAAATGGACATATTGCTTGGATGAATGAGAATTACGGGTGCAACTGCTGATGTTACCAAACCAAGGAAGAGTCTAGACAGATAATCCATACTTCCTGTATTTGCTTAGTTATAGAACCTTCTCCTAATTCTTTTAATTGAGAAAATCTGAATAGGTCTGGCGACTCAGTAAAGAATAGTTAATTAGGCCGGGCACAGTGGCTCAAGCCTGTAATCCTCGCACTTTGCAAGGCTGAGGCGAGAGGACTGCCTGGCAGCCCAAGTGTTCAAGACCAGCCTGGGCAACTTGACGAGACCTCATCTCTACAATCAATAAAAAAAATTAGCCAGGCGTGGTAGCAAGGGCCTATGATTCCAGCTACTTGGAAGGCTGAGGAGGAAGATCACCTAAGCCCAGCAGGTCGAGGCTACGGTGGCCATGAGTGTGCCACTGCCCTCCAGCCTAGGCAACAGAGTGAGACTTCAACTCAAAAAAAAAAAAAAAAAAAAAAAAAAAAAAACTGGGCATGGTGCCTCAAGCCTGTAATCCCAGCACTTTAGGAGGCCGAGGCAAGAGGACTATCTGAGGCCAGGGGTTTGAGACCAGCCTGGGTGACGGAGTGAGACTCCAACTCAGGAAAAAAAAAAGAAAAAGTTAATTGTGTTTTTACTGTTTTCTCCCCCGATTTAACAAATGACACAAATATAAACGGAGACCACCACTTGCTTTTGCAAATGTGTATTTCTCCGTTCCCTTCATCATCACCACCAACGGCCTACAGATATTGGCAACACTTATATATGACCAACATACTTGCATTCTTCTTCTTCCTTCGAGTTCTTTTTCGGTTGGTATTTCTTCGAAAGATTCCTAAAATAAAAATGCAGACATGTCACCTTTACAGAAAAAGACAACTGACAAATCAGGAATGAAAGATAAAATCAGTGCTTTCGTTTACAAGTTTAAAGTCAAAAACCACAAAATGCCCACAGCTGAAATCCATTTATTTCCTTCAGTCTTTCAACATGTAATGAAGCTCCTGTTACTAAAGACTTGTACAGCTTTGAATATACATATATATATTTTTTTGAACCTGGGACTCTGTGGCCCAGGCTGGAGTGCAATGGCACAATCACAGCTCACCACAGCCTCGACCTGCGGTCTCAGGTGATCCTTCCCCCTCAGCCTCCCAAGTAGCTGAGAGTCCAGGTATGTGCCACCATGCCCAGATAATTTTTAAAAAATTTTTTTAGAGATGGGCCTCGCTATGTCATCCAGGCTGGTCTCAAATTCCTGGGCTCAAGCAATCCTCCTGTCTTGGCCTCCCAAAGTGCTGGGATTACAGGCATGAGCCACTGTGTCCAGCCGCTTTTAATCTTTTACCTCAAGGGTAGAGCAAGTAAGACCAGAATGGTTGCTAGCTGGTCACTTCCCTGGGTATGAAGACCTGCCTACTTAATTGAAGAGGACAGACCATGTGTAAACATGCAGTGGTTTCATTTGCAGCAAGAGCTGCTTTTCTTACCAGGCCATCGTTGCCTCATGGTCATTCTTAGTCGGGGGCATTATTACTCCAAAGCCAAGTATCACTGTGCCCAAATGTTTAAACTGAAAATCAAAATGCCAAGGGCATGATTCCAAGGCTGAATGGCTGCTCTACCAGACAGCTCATGGAAACTACCCGTGAATAAATCTTCTTGAAGGAAGTAGAGACAAAATTTGGGGGGCATCCATGCTAAGACATTTAGCTAGAAAAACATTTCTTTTTCCCCTCACACTGGGGTCTCAACTCTGTCATCCAGGCTGGAACGCAGTGGCATGATCACCGCTTACCACAGCCTCCATCTCCTTTGCTCAGGTAATCCTCCTGCCTCAGCCTCCTGAGTAGCTGGAATTACAGGTAAGTGCCACAATGCCAAGTTCATTTTTAAATTTTTCGTGGAGACGAGGTATCACTATATTGCCCAGGCTAGTCTCGAACTCCTGGACTCAAGCAATCCTCCTGCCTCAGCCTCCCAAAGTCCTGGGATTACAGCATGAACCATCCCATCCAGCCTAATTCAGACAACATTTAACTTCCCTAGAAGGTTTGCACTGAACAAACTTAGATTAGTCGAAATTATCCCATCTCCAGGTCAAGAATCCAAAAACTTTTGTCTACATTCAGCACACCTAAATATTCACAAAAACTAAGAGTTAGTCATGAAAATAGAAAACCCACTAACATTGGTGCTGCTTGCTGATTTCTCCTGGGTCCTGACTTTATTTAGTCAATTAATTTATTTTTTGAGTCGGGGTCTCACTGACAGGCCCGAGTGCAGCAGCACCATCATACCTCACTGCAGACTCAACCTCCTGGGCTCAGGTGATCCTCCTGCCTCAGCCTCCCCAAATGGCTGGGACTACAGGCACGTGCCATCACATCCAGCTAATTTTTTATTTTTTGTAGCGATGAGGTCTCACTACATTGCTCAGAGTGGTCTCAAAGTGCTGGGACTACACTGTGCCTGGCTAGTCCTGATTTTAGACAACTGTAGTTAGAGAAACAGTCACGGCATGATGACTAATGATCCCTAGCTGGACTCTTCCTTTGTCAGTGTCTTGGTATCCTTCATAATTCCTTTTTGCTAGGCCTCTTTTATAGTAGGCAACTTTATCATCTCATGTTTCTCTTTTATTTCTTCCATTTCCCCCAAACCTACCTACAGATAAGTGACAACAAGCTCACAATCTTGACTATGGTGCACTTGACATACAAAGTGAAACACGGTTTCATCTCTAACAAGTGCTACTACATGATGCAAGAAGCAGTGGGTAGCCAGAGTGCGGTGGCTCACGCTTATAATCCCAGCACTTTGAGAGGCCGAGGTGAGAGGATTGCCTGAGCTCACGGGTTCGAGACCAGCCTGAGCAACTTGGCGAGACCTCATCTCTACAATCAATCAAAAAATTAGCTGGGCGTGGTGGTGACTGCCTGTATTTTCCAGCCTCTTGGAAGGCTGAGGCAGAAGAATTGCTTGAGCCCAGCAGGTCGAGGCTGTGGTAGCTGTGAATGTGCCACTGCCCTCCAGCGTAGGCAATATAGTGAGACTGCAACTCAAAAAAAAAGAAGCAGTGGGCTTTAATAGCAATCAAGAGATCACATGCCTGGATGGCAAATAAGCCAGTCAACTTTGGCAAATAAGCAAGTCAACCCTTCCGGTCCCTCATCCGTTAGTTGGTGGGGAGTAGAAAACATGACCTCCACTGTCCCTTCTAGTTTTGAAATTCTAGGGATATATAGCATCCAGTAGAATATCAAGTATTGCAATTATTCAAAAAATGAAGACATAGCCTATAATCCAGCACATTGGGAGGATGAGGTGGGAGTATCGCTTGAACCCAGAAGTTCTAGACCAGCATGGGCAACATAACAAGACCTTATCTCTATGTAAATAAAAAATCAGCCAGTTGTGGTGGTGTGTGCCTATAGTCCCAGCTACTTGGGAGGCTGAGGCAGAAGGATCGCCTGAGCCCAGGAGATTGAGGTTGTGAGGCACCGTGATCATGTCAGTGCACTCCAGCCTGGGTGACAGAATGACACCCCAATTAAAAAAAAAATCACAATTAGACCAACTGATAAAAAATGAATATACTTCTTGATGTTCGCTAACATGCAAGCATACACTTAAATATATAAACTATGACATGCTTTTTCTACCGATATGGTAGATAAGTTGCAGTTGTTTGGGTTATTTTTGAGTCAGAGTCTCACTCTGTCACCCAGGCTGGAGTGCAGTGGCACATTCATGGCCACCGCAGCCTCGACCTGCTGGGCTCAGGCAATCCTTCCTCAGTCTTCCAAGTAGCTGGAATTATAGGCACGAGTCAACACAACCAGCTAATTGTAGAGAAAAGGGCTCACCAAGTGGCCCAGGCTGTTCTCGAACCTGTGGGCTCAGGCAATCCTCTCACCTCGGCTTCCCAAAGTGCTGAGACTATAGACTCTGCCCCACACCCGACCCTACAGAGTTTATTAATAAACCTAGATCCAAACAAAAGCGAAAAAGCAATATTTCCTTAAAGGATGTGCCTTGGAGAAAAAGTAATGCAAAAAGGAGAAATATTATATGTTGAAAACACAATACAGTTCTTAGAGTTGGTTTATCACAACCACTCCATAAAAGGGAGAAGTAGGAAAATAAGGCTATCACAAGGATAAGGAATGAACAAAAAGATCACACAAAGCAGATGGCTACATCATCAGTGGGTTCTTTTCAAAATATATTGAGGGCAAGCGGGCACAGTGGCTCACACCTATAATCCCAGCACTTTGGGAGGTAAAAGCAAGAGGACTGCCTGAGCCCAAGGGTTCAAGACCAGCCTGGACAACTTGGCAAGACATGGTCTTTACAATAAATTAAAAAATTAGCTGGTGGCGGCGCACACCTGTAAATCTCAGTCACTTGGAAGGCTGAGTCCAGCAGGTGGCCGTGACTGTACAACCGTACAACTGTCATCCATCCTGGGCAATAGAGTAAGACTCTGACCCAAAAAAAACAAAACAAAAAACACAACAAAAGAAAACCCCTAGCAAATATATTGAGGGCAGCAAGCACGGGAGATTGGAGTGTTGGAAAGGCCTAGTGTCTGCATGTGACATACTTTAGTGCAAAGTTTTAAATATTAATCATCTCTTCTGTCACATATAATTTACAAATTGAAAATGCCACTTCTACATTCACATCTAGTATAAAAATTCTATCAAGCCAGGCGTGGTAGCTCACGCCTGTAATCCCAGCACTTTGGGAGGACAAGGCAGGAGAATCACTTGAGCCCAGGAGCTCAAGACAACCTGGGGAACGTAGCGAGATCTCTACAAAAAAAATTTTTTTTAAAGGTTGGGCACGGTGGCTCACACCTGTAATCCCAGCAATTTGGGAGACGGAAGCGAGAGGACTGCCTGAGCTCAGGGGTTCAAGACCAGTCTGAGCAACATGGCAAGACCTTGTCTCTACAATAAATAAAAAAATTAGCCGGGTGTGGTGGCACATGCCTATAGTTCCAGCTACCTGGAAGGTTGAGGTGGAAGGATCACCAGAGCCCAGCAGATCAAGGCTGTGGTGGCCGTGAGAGTGCCACTGCACTCCAGTTTGGATGACAGAGTGAGACTTTGACTCAAACAAACAAACAAACAAAAATTAGCTGGGTGTGGTGGCACACATCTATATTCCCAGCTGCCCTGGAGGCTGAAGTTGCGGTAAGCCACGATCATGCCACTGCACTCCAACCTGGGTGATAGAGTTAAGACTCCAACTCAAACGAACAAAAAAGTATTTCTAAATTTTTATGGCTACTAAAGGTTACTTAAATTCACATTTTGTTTTAGTGTCCTTGTAGTCCTTAATAGCCATAAACATTTAAATTTGAAATCTAGTTGAAGGAAACCTAGATCCAGTAGATCCAGTTAGAACCAGCACAATCCACAGTGCCACCGACCATTCAAATCCTACATAGGACCAGAGACCTGCAGTGGGTGATATTCTGAAAGACCATCAAGTTCTAACGAATGAGTGTCACTTCAACGTTATTGGCATAAAAAACATTCAAAATGCTTTTTTAAAGCATTAATGGATAATCCACTCCAGAAATACCACCAGAGACCTCAACGCTCAAGACACCTAGAAGCGAACGTCAATGCTAAGGATATTTCTTTCAAGAACTACTACAAAAAAAGATAAACTTTCCATTTCCATTCTCTTGGGACAGGTTTTTTGCCCCATTTGCATTTGTTATTTAAAAAGCAAACAAGCAAACACATCATTAAATTAACTTTGGGTTAAATGCAGTGGCTCATGCCTATAATTCCAGCACTTTGGGAGGCCAAGGCA